CTGAGGAGGGAGGGTGTGACCTCACCCCTGACATGGGAGTTGGCACCTGTCACACACATTAACACTTGCATATGCAAACACACAGAAACTTGCATTTATAAATGAGATCTGCACAAAGGCACCAACCGAAACGCTTACATCTACTCACTCGCACAACACACACATGCAAACACACCCTCCCATGGCCTGTCTGCCACCTCCTGTTGGCAGCCGGCTGGCGAGCACAGTGGGCTGTTCGGATAAGAGGAAACACACAGGCTATGTTTCAAGCTAGGGTGTGTAACAACAGAGGAAATCAGGGAGCTGATTAAAGTCCTGCCAGGTAAATAAAACAGTAGGTCATCCATTATGAGAGACCGAGGTAATTAGTGCATGTCTTGGGTTTAAGTAGAAGAATCTAAAGTAACATAGGGAATTCTTTAAAGACTTAAGGAAAGTGTAAGTAATGGACAGGGACAGTAACTTGCTGAATCAAGATGATTCTAACATCTGCATGAAGCGCTCATCCAAAGTAAACATTTTGAAAAATATTGATCAGTCTACAAGACAGGAGACATTACTATGCATCCAAGATTTTCCCAATTGAATATGACTTTAATAGCATCACTTGTCCTTGGAGCATATCTAGAAAGGAAGAAGTGGCCTAGAATCACAGGTTTAATGACCTTATAGCAACATTGTTTTTTAACTGAAGACACATCTTCTTTTTTTATAATCTGTTTCACATTGTTGCTCGCTGCTATTACGGTTTCCTTTCCATGTTGCCAACACAAATTGGTTGTATCGCCAGCCGAGGAAAAGAGACAGATAGGTGAAAAGTGAATAAGACGGATGAGCCAAAACCAATTGAGTCTGTGAAGCTGTCTTAATGATCCAGAATAAGCACTTGACCAAAGATAACATCATACACTGGAGCTATATTTATGGTGCAGATAAAATATTTATATAGTGAGTCATAATGTCTGGTCCTGGAAAACAGCTGCAGGGATATCAGACTGTTATTTTGGCAATTAAAATACCTAAATTCTTAAGCAGGATATACTATTAAACATGGTTTAATATTAATATATTAAGTATAACAAATATTCTCCATGCTATGTGCAGGCTATCAAATACCTAACTGACATTTATAGTGTCTTTTATATCATACTTTTGATGTTTACTTCTAGCATCATAGCATGGTATTTGTTTTTTCGGTCATCAATTAGTCATCTGTGAGAAAGAAGAATGCAGATTACGATCAGTGAGGAAGTTAAGGATAAATATCGAAGAGCAAATAGACTGTTAGAGAAAGTATGAAAAGCAAGAAGTAAACATGGCTCCTTATTAACCAACTACGGAAGAGGATTAGGGCCAGATGGGAAATAAATTATGAGATCGGACGAAAAGAGATTTAAAAAAAAAAAATGTATCCTCTACCAATTACATTAACATTTAACCATACAATGGACATTTCTAAAACAGAGAACAATGATAAATAAAAATACTATATTATTAAAATCCTGTATCCTGGTTGGAAAGGAGGAAGCACCTGTGAATTCCATCTTTTTTGAGGACGGACCAAATACACCCAATAGGACAAAGTTGATTCAGATTTCAATTTGTGAGAATGGTTGAAAGAGAAAGCATGAAAAAAAAATCACATATCCGTAAACTTGACTGACTGGACATCAGCCCTTCTTTCCAACTCGATCTTTAGTGAATAATGGATTGAGGTACTATCACACACAGAGAGGAGGATCAACCTCGGTATCCCAGACTAAACATTGGCCTAGATGAGCGGATGACTTCTGTCTATTCCAGTCTATTGTGTCTCGATTTTTTAATGAAAAGCAGCTAATTAGGGATAAATAAATCATGCCAGGCTATCTGTGGCTGTCAGTCCGGTGTTTGGTGTCGGATCAAAGATCTAAGACACGGCGAGGTCCAGATGAGAGTTAATAATGGAAAACTCTCTGTTTCAAGTGCTCATAGTACACAACAGATGTCTAGCTTGCTAACAACGTGTTTAGCCTTTGTTAATGTTGGCTAGCATGACAATGTTTCATGAATCTATTCATACTGTCTGAGAATTCGCTTTCATACTTTCTTTCACTACAGTATGTGGACACCCTGTTACATCTACTTTTTCAGGTTTAAAGCTAGGTCTCTTACTTCAATCAAGGGAAATCTAGATGCTACCAAATGCAACAATGGTTTGGACAAAAATGTCAACTTTGCAAATTTTACAATCCAGTTTCAACATTTTCGCTCGACCATACACGAAGAAATCCATGAAGAAGTCCTCAAAGGTGGGGTAGGTAATTTGGGAGAAACCAGCTCGAGTGCGCTAGAATTTGAAAATACACAGCCGGAAAAAATCTGCCACTCCCTTACAGAGCCCCTCCTCCAACACACACGAACACACACATGACCAATGAGAGCACGAGATAAGTTTGTGCACAGATGGAAGGCTGACGGGCAGGTAGGCCATCCAGTTATTTTAGCCGGGCCGGCTCAGATGATTGGTCGTGCTTTTTACATTTTTTTATGGATTTTTTATCAAAGCACTTAAGATATTCATTGCTATCGGGATGTTAAGAGCATTCCATTGAATATAACAAAAAGTGTATCTTGAGCCGGTTTCTCAATCTTACCTACCCCACCTTTAAAGAAAATGTTTTTTATTTTACTGTGAGAGTCATGACCTCTTTGCCTAACATCACCTTTGGGATGAACTGAAATGCAGACTGTGCGCCAGGACTTATTACCCAACATCAGTGGCCAACATCACTAATGCTCCTGTGGCGTAAATGGGAAAAACTGTCTATTCAGAAACAATATAAAATCTGGCATGGGAAATGCTTTTGTCATCAAAACCATCATCATTGTATACATCACAGTCGAGACTATTAGACTTGGAAGGGCATAACTAAATGGAGGGAAATTAACAATTCTTAGCTGTGGACAGTAGGGGTGTAACGGTACACTTACCGTAACGAAATTATTTGGTACGGGCCCTTCGGTTCGGTACACGTGTGTACCGAAGTGTACCGAACGAATATAACGTTAAACGTAAAAAATCGAGAACGTGAACAACTTTTTGGAAGTAATCTCAGGTGCTGCGTCGCAGCATTCAGAGTAATTTGCTCGCATTGGGTTCAACGCGTCAGAGCGAGCAAGTTATTTCATTGGACGAGAGGCATACTATGAGAGCTGGTCACAGGGATGCGTTCAAATGTAGTCAGTAATTTGAGGAACTGTCGAAATGGCGAACGCAGAGAAAGTTGAGCTCGAAAATCCTCCAGCATCATTGAAGTCTCCGGTTTGGGAACATTTTGGTTTCGCAGTTACGTACAAGGATGACGGACAAAGACAGGTGGACCGAACCAAAGCTGTCTGTCGGCATTGTTCAACTAAAATTGGGAACGCGGCTGGCAATACATCAAACTTGCACACTCATTTGAAAAGGCAAGCCCCTGAACGTGAATATCACCAAAAAGAAAAAAGACTGAAGTGCAAACCCAACTCCCGCTAGCATTTAAGCCTCCACCACTCGCAAAAAGTTCAGACCGAGCCAAAGCTTTTACCAACGCCAAATATCCTTATGTTGCCTGGTTAGCAAAGCACACATGCGGATCGCTACCCGTCCCTAAAAGGGTGTTCTCCACAGGCAGGAAACATTGTTAGGTGCCAACAGGTCGCCCTTTCGGCAAGCACATGTGGGATAAGTTAATTTCTTTTAAAAATACAATGACAAGCAGTAAAATGTCAAACTGCTGCTTAAGGTACTAGTACGGTTCAAATACAGATTGTTTCAGTTCATCGAAATGCTGCACCTTAATGTTTATTTTATTATATTTTGTATTATTGAGTGAATAAATGATTCACAGTTAAGAATAATTTAAAAAAAACCCAAAAATATTTTATGTTTTGTGGAAAAAGATTCTGATGTACCGAAAACGTACCGAACGACAGTGAACCTAAAAACCGAGGTACGTACCGAACCGAAAATGTTTGTGAACCGTTTACCCCTAAGTGGACAAGACATGTATGTTCATTATCTGTCTTCTAAAAAGTACAAACTTGAAAGGCCAGCTTTAAGTATCTTGAAGGACTCTCTGTATTGTATCCTAGTCTGCTGTAGCAAGCATTCATGAGACAGACCTCATTTAACTTCTGCTTTCAAAATTGCAAAACAAATGAGACAAAATACCACCAAGATCCAGGGGGCTTTATGGGAAATAAAGGAAGAATCAGGTCATGTTTGATATTAATGCAAACAGTATGAGGACGGGGACAAAAAGAGCATTATGCAACTATTAAGAGACTAAGT